TTAAATAAAGCCTTTTTTTCTTCAGGTAAATATAATCATTTTTATAACATTTTAAATCACTAAAAGTTAAGAAGAATGGATTGTCTTCTACTATGTCCAAATGTACTAGAGTTAAATCCTGAATCAAACAATTCATCTGCAGTTTGGAATCACTGACAACACAGGTTGCAAAATTTCATTAGAAGTACCGATGCTAACAAGAAAGAGAAATTTCGTCTTCTTATCAATTATATATCACCTACTATATAAGAGAATCACCTACTATGAATGTCCCTACATAAGTCAATGCAATTCTTACAATGAAGCTCGAACTGTCCTCAAAAATAGATTTGTTAAACCTGTCAACCCTTAGAGTGTCAGTAACTGGTGCCTTGGTTCATTTTGAAATGAAACTTTTCTAAACTAACCAAACCAACCAAGTATGATTTCATAAATCGGTTTTATAAGAGAACTCGTTACCCAGATATACAACCAAACAGTAAAGTACAAATCATGAAACTAAATAACAAATAAATAACCCTATTAGGTGTAACTACATCATATACTTCCACGGATCTCAGTAATCCTATCCATGACTTCCCGTCCGTCTATACATTTCCTGTCCCACGGTGGTGTAACGTTCAGCTGCCGATGCATCAATCGTGGAGAGAGACAGAAGACAATCTGCAAGATATGTACTTTTTGACATCCGCACATCAAGTCCACGTGGACTGTCTTAACCAATCAGAGAAGATTAACCAACGATCACACCCTCTGATTGGCTGTCTCTATAGGCGGACAGGGGGACGTCAATTCCACCAAAAACCCAGAGAGGGCAGTCTCCAGGAAGTCTTCGGTCGGGTCACCGCGTTCGGGGAGTCGAAGTTTTCGGTCGCGAGTGATTCGCGAAGTGAAGTGTTATTTTAACCATGGCCTGTTGCCTTTAAAGGCAGATTTAAACTTGTTTTGTGAAGTGTCCAGTGCATCAACCCATAAAGTATGTCAATTTTATAATTATTTAAACTAAAAATTTAAGTCCTGCTCGCTTACTCAGGGATAAATAATTTAAGGCTTTAGAAGTTAGATTTTCAAACTTTCATTAAATTCTATTCAAATTTACTTCCTTAAATTTGAAGGTTAATTAATATTTTATTTTTTGTTTTACATTTTTAATTCATTTAAACTCCAATTACCAATTTATTTGTTAGGATAAAGTATAATTTACCTTATTAAATTGACTATTTACTGTACTGGTTCATTTCCCCTTGTTTAACTGTATTCGACTTATATATTATCATTGTATTTTGTTTGATTGAGTTTATTATCTTCTCCTTTTTTAAATAAATTGTAAATTCATTTAGTAGCTCTAGTTTTATTCACAGTCCCGGCCCTCACGCAATAGCCAAGCGAGTACATTAACTAATTACATATTTACTACTTATACAAAATAACAACAATGAGTTACATAGGCCTTTAAATCAGATTTTGTAGACACCAGCGCACCCAGTGTCACCAACATGAACTACTGTAAACACGATAAACGAGTAACAACTTGTGTTGGTTAATTCCATAGGTATGTTTATTTATTTATTAATTCCATACTCCTTGAGAAGCTTGTTTTCTCTATGTATTCGACATTCGTAACGTTTGTCTGCAGAAATATCGATATAGCGGTTCGATCGTTTCTAAAATATTTTTATTTTCAATGTAAACAAACATGGAAATTGGTTATGATCTGTTTATATGTTTTAATTGATGTTTTGAATGTAAAAATTCAGTTAAAATCGGTGTACGTATTTAATGAACTTGAATATATAAAACTATCAATAGGCCTATTCAAACAAAAGAAGACTGAAAACGAAAACTTAACTTCACGATTTTAGAGGATTAATTAAGGATAGGCTATTCACACAGGTGATAGATGTTAAACCACTTTTTATTGACCTATTTAAATATTTTTAAAGCCATTTTTGACTAAATATAGGCTATAGACCTAGGATAGAATAAACAAATAACTTTATTCATAGGCTACTTTGTTATTGTTTTTATTTATATCATAAACTTAACTTAAATGGTGCAATACAATTCTCATGGTCTTCCTGTCTCTGCTCGTCGTCGTCGGGGGCAAAGGAAAGTACCCATTTATACCGACTTATTTCCCATTCTTGCTGGGTAATTACCTATGAATTACCCTTTTACCCGTCGAATTGCCCTTTTCTCCCCATGATTAAACCACATTTATCTCCCCCACCCAAAACCCCGAATTCCCATTGGCTCCCTAGTGTGTTGAGATTATTGTTTATAGGCTACTAGCAGAGTCCTTCGTACGGGGTTGGAGTATAAGTATAAAATGCTTAAAAATGGCAGTTATACTCAAGTTTTGAGTTTGCAATAAGGGAGGACACAGTTTAATAAAATTTGCTTTTTTTAAATTTACAGTACCTATTCTATAGTATTACACATCTACCATAGCCATAATCATCTAAACAATAGAGAAAAATAAATTATCAACAATTCGCAAAATATCACAAATTATTCATGAAATGAAAAACATAAACATAACTGTAAACAATCCTACTTTGACAGTTCTCATTGCGAATCACAGTTAGGTATATGTTTAGCTCGTTTTCATAAATGCAAAAAAATATATAGTGCTGCACCCTGTTGATAAATCTTAGGCTATAACTTTTTAATGCTTTTCCATATCATAGAACCAACTTTTTTTGTTGAAACATCTGACTAAATTCTTTAATTCCCTTTTAATATGAATACTCATAAGGTTAACATGGGGAATTATAGAGCCACTGGGGCGGAGCCCGAAAGGATTTTTGAGATAAGAATATGCCTATATGTTAATCGGGAATGTAAGCTATCATCATGCCAAATTTCAGCCCAATCCGTCCAGTGGTTTATGCGTGATTGAACTTCAAACACACAAACTTTCACATTTATAATATTAGTAAGATAAGATAAGATATTTAATTAGTAGGTAGGTAATCAAATGAGGCCTCGGCGCCAAAAAAAATCTTTTATTAAGTTATAGTATTGATGTCCTAGAATAGTTTAACAGTGATTTTAGAACGTTTAAGCTGGGGTCTGGGTCCTAAATAAGTACCACGACGGTTTCGATGACAGTAACTTAGGCCTAACATTATTCAATATATCGATTATTTAATTCGGTTAGATAGGTTAGGTTAACCTAACTACAGTTTAACCAAACTTGATATAAACTTATCAAATGGAAATAATCGATAGGTAACTTACCTATTGAAAATTCTATATTTTCATTTGGTATTTTGGAGTCCTGCTTTTTAAAGTCTACCCCAAAATACATTGTTTATACTGTTTATACTGTTCTATGAAATGGCGACCATACAAAGTAGGGCCTAGGTATTTTAAGCCAAGTATGAATGGGGATGAGTGTAGGATGAGTGGCGCGATCTTGTAGTCTTGTTAGTGACTAAGGCCGACATTCCTTAGACACAGCTGTTAATTAATAGCCCATACAGCTAATGGCAACTAAGGGACACCTACAGTTTATAGTGGAATCCGAACCACATTTTTGCCTTGGTAATTACGAATTGGTCTAATTATCAGGATAGTACTGCGGATAGTAGTAGTACTCACCTGTGCGGATGTTAATCCATTGCATGTGGAAAGGTCAATAAGATATTAGGGCCTAGATCAATGTTAATTCATTTTGGTCAAAAACGATAGGCTGGGGCTACAAATGAGATAGACAACATATAAGTTAAACCTAGGCCCTCGCCTAAACTTATAGGCCTAGAGAAAACTTTGCTACGCAGATGAGAATAGAAAGACGATAAAAAAATGCTTCTCAGACCTTTACATTACCTACCTTATTTTAATCGTAACCTATTTCAAGGTGGTAATCCTTTGACCTAACTTCAGCTTTCAGAGTGACTGCTTTACATTATAAATGACATAGTCTAATTGTCTTAAAAGTAAAGTAATAAAATATACCATGTTAATGGATGTTTAAAAATAAAGCCTTGGATATTATTTAGCCTATTACCTGAATAATCCAAGACTGAAAATCCAGAAAAAAGTTACACCAGTGAGAAACTTAGGCTAAGTTATATTAGCCCACGCTGTTCACTATCATACATCAGGTACTTGTGTTTGCCTTTCATCACACGTTTATTATATTGAAAAAACAATACGGAGAAACTATTAATTTAAACACTCACGAACACGATCTTATAAAAAATTAGAAAACTTAACTCAAATAAGCTTGGTAAACAAAAGTAAGTTAGTATGCCAATTGCCCAGTCCGAGTCCAGCCAGAAATCTATGGCGGGAAACTGGGAAAGTCAAAGGTATGATCTCGTTTATCACTAAGAAAAATCGTAAATCTAGATATTTTTTAATCATGCAACTGCTAAACTCTAAAACATGAACATGGATTTATGTTATTTATTGAGAATATTTCTTGGCTTCCTTGACCCCCTTGAAACGTTGTAAAACCAAAATTCCTCCACAAAAATGTACTCGAGTAAGTTTTTATTCATGTATAAACGTTGTTATTATTTATAACTCTATAAAAACATAAAACGTTATCAAACAGCTTTTGCTGATCTGAAATCAATCCTAGTTTTTTTAAACATAGTATGACAACTGAAGAGGAAGAAGTAAAGTTCGAATTGTAAAATCTATCGTAAAATAATACACAAATTTATTTAGTCTATATCAGGGCAGTCAAGATAGTCCTATACTGGACTATAACTAACTATACTGGACAGGACAAACAGCCATAGGAGTATGTTTTATATATGGTATTGGTATTGGCATTGACATTTCGAAAAAGCCCAGGAAAATGTATGGAACAGTCGTGTTTAAAGGCATAATGTGTGGCTACATGGCAGTTCAACCAAGCCAGCTTTTTTTCAAAAGCAAACAAGAAGAAGAGGAGAAGAAGAAGTTCGTCAAGTGTCAAAAAATCAACTTGAACTTAGCAATAAGAGGTTAATGTCATTCATTGTGATTGTATCGTGGTTATGTAGTTTAATTTTGTAATACTATCCTACTGTTTTATGTTGTTATTTTTAGATAACATATACTTTGAGATTTGTCGTTCTTTGGATCAATCACTCAACAATTAAATTGTCTTTAGCATTGTTGTATAAGTTACTTGGATTTTCATTGGAATGGCTACTATTAGTAAAATAAGCCAGATAGCCTAATTTTAACTGGAAGATGATATGGTAGACTCGATTGAATTATCTGTTTAGCTTGTTGAATAATTAATTGAAATTTAAAAAAATAATGTCTGACGATGAAGAAATTATATTTAAACATAATGACCTTTGTAATCATCTGATCAATCAAGGCTATTTCGATTTTGAAACATTTAGCCCTACAACTGGTCCGACATCAAAAACTTTAAATCTTCTAAACACTGAAGACTCACAAACTAAAATAGACAGTTGTTTTCGCAATTCCCTGAAAAAGTCCATAACTTTATCTCAGTTTCAATTAAAACAATTAGAAATACTGCGCAAAAGTAAACTGTTGTTCAATGAAGATGCCGATGATATTGAAACTGCCATTGAAAATAGTTATGTTAATAAATCCAAATCAAAGTGGTTTTGGCACTTAAGTACTGTAGCTGGTTTCTTTTGCTCAATTACTTTGCGCAAAAAAGGTACTATGTTTTATTTACCTTTTGGAATAACAATTTTCTTAACAGCTTATTTGCTCAAGCATTTTTTTGAAGACAGTAAGAAGACAGAAAACTGTAGAAAGCTTGAACAACATGTGCATCTTTTGCAAAGTTTGTGTTTGGATATACAGAAACTTCTCCGTTTTGTGAAAGAAACAGAAATATTAAGTAAAAAGATTGAGTACCAGTCAACACTTTATAAGCCCATACTGGCTATACCAATAGATGAACACAACAAACAGTACTTAGAAAGAACTCAATCCCACCTAAGAAAATGTTTATTAGATTCATTGGCTGATGTAATTGCAATTCTAACTAGTTCTTATGATTATTTACAGAAACAGTTACCCGATGATATGCCTACATCAGGTAGCGATAACATTGATTGTTTTATTAAGAACCAGATATTAAATCCTAAACATTGTACATCGTTGGAAGAGTTACAGATCCTTAACAAGACTTATTTGTCCTTGCAGTCTGATTACCTTAAACTAATTTCATTTTATGTTTGTCCTGAGATGTTCGGCTGTTTTCATTATTTAAGAAACAAAATCAGTGAAGTTTTACATTTTTGTCATAGTTTAGAATCAAAACTAAGAAATATTTCATTTCGGCTTAAAATGCAGTACGCTATTAATAACATTTACTCTGTTACACATACATCTTGTAAACAGAGGCCGCTGATTGTAAATCACAACCAATTAGGCCTAAGTAAAATACAAGTGGAAGTTCACAATATATTTTTGCTTATACTGTCTATGTTACTTAGGGTGAGGAATGTAGAGGAATATTTGGAAATGATACCAGGTGATGATTTTGATGATCAAAATGGAATAGCAGTCGGTGTACAAAAGCAGCTAGACACCCTCAGACATGATCTTGCCTCCACCTCAAAATGTTTTGATCTTATTTCCCGACAGTTAAGTAACGGAGATACAAATCAAAGTAAATCCACCCCTGATGAAGTTGATGAAAATATTGCTGCTCCAACCCAAACAATTAATGCAACAAATATTGTTGTTGGTGCATCTGATTTTAGCGTCAATTCACCTGATGAGGTTTTCATAGCCATTTCTGGTCTTGGTAATGAAGAAATAGAACTTGACAGTGACGATTACTTTGAGAAGAAACCTCAACTTCCTGTAAACCTAATGTTGGAACTTTCAGACAGATTGAAGTCCAGGAAACAACAGTTTAATGCAAGGGAAAAAGCTGCATTGGCTAGAGACGGTCTTCTAGATTTTCCAGACAATCCTATTGAAGGAATAGCGCATGTTGGAGAAACCAATTTCAGAGCTGTAAAACAATTGAGTGAGTCTTTTGGAAGTTCGATAAAAGAAAGTGAATCGTTAATTAATGATGTTGAATTTGAAATATGCTATGACCAAATCAAACAGTATAAGCCAAGGGTAGAATACTCTGATTCAGAATCTGACAGCCAGGATTCAAATGGAACTGAAAGAGTCAGAGACACTCCTCCTATAAATCAACTTTCTCTGGCAAACATGGCAGCCATGAAATCTCAGTTTTGGAGAAATACTGCAGACGAAGAATGCTTCAGTGATGGTTAATTTTAACCATTACTTATTTAACATTATTTAATGTACCAAGACTGTTTAAAAACATTTCAAGAATTCCAGGAATTGTAATGAAGAGAGTAAAGAAATTACACGAAGATTTAAATTACTGTATACAACTGTATGCTTATTTCTCTCTTAAATTTGGTGAGTAAAACACTTCACCACTTTCATATACATGGTAATACCATAAAATTTGGATGGATTCGATTACCTAAGTTAATCGAGCTATTTGGTAAAGTCTGGTCTTGGTAAGTCCATAAATTCAGTTTAGGTTGTGTTTCGCTTTATATAGGCACGATAGGCTATCTCAGGTTTTAAGTTGAGGCAAGCTACCTGAACAGGCGTAAAACAAGACAGTGGTTGGGTTGGCCCTACGAGTAAATCCCACAATATTCACACATTACTAAACATTTTAAATCTAATTAATATTTTTAAATTTAAATATAATTGGTTTTTTGAGAAAAAAACTAGACATTACTGTTATTAGTCCATTTCAACTGCCTTCTCAATTTGTATTTTCTCCCTAACTTACATAGTACCTAGCCTATGGAGAAAGTATTGTTTTCAGAAAGATTTTCGAGTTTGAGTTTTGGGTTCCCATGAACCCAAAAAAGTTATTTCCAAAGTGATGTGTTTATATCTGTAAGTGTGAATTTGTATACAGAGCTACATAACAAACCTGTAGTCCAATTTTGATGAAATTATGTAGGCCTATATGTACTAATCAGTAGTATCTCCAGGAGTTTTTATTTAAATTTGTTGAAAATTTTTAGGCTATTTTTAATTGTGATATTTCCATAAAATTACAAAAATTGCATCAAATAACACTTGTAATAACATATTTTTTAGTGGATCGATTTTATTGGACACTCCAACCCTCATCAGACCCAATAGGCGAATGACATTGATAGAATCTCAATGGTGTCCCGTCCCTTATATAATTAGGCCTTATATGTTTATACAAGAGTATCTATCTATATATTAATAGGCAAGCATGTTTCTTTAAAACCTTTTTTCTCAGCTCGTGTGAATCGTAGGGAAAATCTACGCATACCGTTGGAAAGCTATTTTCCTGTAGGTGTGCAGAATCCCTTTATAAATTTAAATAGGCTCAAAGATAAGCACAAAAAATGAGTTTAAAAATTTGAAAAAATTAACATGGATCTTATGCGTTGCTATGCTGGTTACGAAATAACAACGAAATATAAACAGAAAATCAAAACAAATGGAGGAAACTCCAATCACATGTTTTATTTACAGTGTGGGATGATAAGTGAGTACATTACATATTTTTGGTCGAGTTTCGACCACTGGACGACCTCTCGTCTATATATTAATAGGCAAGCATGTTTCTTTAAAACCTTTTTTCTCAGCTCGTGTGCATCGTAGGGAAAATCTACGCTTACCGTTGGAAAGCTATTTTCCTGTAGGTGTGCAGAATCCCTTTATAAATTTAAATAGGCTCAAAGATAAGCACAAAAAATAAGTTTAAAAGTTGTAAAAAAATAACATGGATCTTATGCGTTGCTATGCTGGTTACGAAATAACAACGAAATATAAACAGAAAATCAAAACAAATGGAGGAAACTCCAATCACATGTTTTATTTACAGTGTGGGGTGAAAATAGTTAAGTGAGTACATTACATATTTTTGGTTGAGTTTCGACCTCTCGTAGACAATAATAGACAAACAAAATGATTATTTTTCAAAAATAATTGTAAACATTCTGGATTTTGCTCAGTAAAATTTAAGACAACACCGCTGCTGTAAAACTAAATGTATAAATTAGCAATTTTGATTACCGTTTATATGAAGTAAGGGCTCATTGATTTTTGGTCTTCAAATTTCCAGATAAAACTACCAAAAGTGGAAAATCGTGCAAACATCCTGCCCCAGACATCTGAACTACATCGTACACATGGACTTGCTAAACTTTAGGTTCATAGTTACAACAACTTGAAGTTCTACATCAAGACAGAAGATGAGGATTGATTCTTTCTTCAACTAACCAACTAACCATTTACCCAATAATGGTACTCTGAATTGTTCTGCAAGAAGTCAATAACATGTCAAACACATTGTGATGGTGAATCGAGAATAACATTATTCCAGTAAAACTGCCGATGTCTCAGATTAACCTCTCATATAACAAGACATCCCCTCAGATGACATTTGGGTGGCTCACGATCTTAATTAATCCAAAGATTTTGTTCTTAATCATCAGATGGTGGATTAAGAAGGTACAGTACTGAAAACTTTTCTCTGCTAAACTTGTATGATTGCAATGGCAATAACCACAGGAAAAAAATAAATGTATTTTTCAAAGAATTTTACTCCTTTCAGTGACCTAAACATCTAATACATCTAGGCCTATCAATGTTAAAAACTCTGGTCAATTTTGTAGAATGTGGTAGAATCGCTTGAAGCTAGTCTGCACCTCATTTTGTCTTATTTACAACAATAAAATTGTAATATTTAAGCTGCCGGTATTTTTCATTCAATCTTTTTGAACTTGGTGTCGTTTGATAGGAAATTTTAAATGCTAAATAAAAGAGTTCTTGACATTTTTTAAATAAAATCAGCCATGTTTTATTGATTTAAATTATAGTTTGAATTGAACCAAAGATATGGTTTGATATAACAAGGCTTTAACACTCTTTACATGCACTCATAAAGATCAGTTGGGACAGTCCAAAGTTAAATACCCCTGCCCCAGCAAACCTGCAGACTAAGCAAATTCCTAATTGCCTAATTGGATTTCCACTCAAATACTTTAATAATTTTCATTGAAATGGCGACCATACAAAGTAGATATTTGAAGCCAAGTATGAGACTTTAAAATGTCATACTTACCTATTCCCCAAATAACATTAGTGTAACGAGTACTTAGGTTTGCTGCTATAGAGTAGGTACGGTAAGGTGTGTTTTTATATAAATTTTGATTGATTAGTATGAAATAAGAAAATTTGCCAAACTTGATCAAAATATGTTCATAAATAAGCAAACTACAACAGTTTACTCATTCTCCTCAAGAATAACATAAAAAGGGTCAAAAATGGAAAACTCCCATTTTTACCCATCTTTCGACCATGCTGGTTCGCGAGCCCATTAAAATAATAAATGTAGGTTTACATATTTAAAAACATTTTTATTAAAATTGGATGATTTTTGCTTGAGTTATGCTGACGGACACAAATACATAATACGAGCAGTGTACCCGTTCTACGGACGGGGATCTTGTAGTCAGTTGAAACCTCAGTCAGTTGATAATCAGAACAGCAGTTCGTTTGTATATTTAGTGTGCATTTTTCCAGATATGCAGGCAAAACTATTATAGGAATACAAATAAACCTTCGCAAACACAATATCTGACAGTTTCAAGCCAAAACAAATGCCTAGCAATTAAATGTCACCCGAATATAAATCTTGTTGGTCTATACCTATTGTATATCTATTGATTAAGCTATAAAAAACAGCTTTATAGATCTACTAGCTGTACCCGCGGGCTTTGCCCCGTTTAACTTCATAAGTGAGCTCGTTCGCATGGCTCAATCACGTGACAGACAGACAGAAATTAAGATAACACTTGTTTTGGCTTCTTTAATGTATAAAACGTAAAAATAACCAAAAAATATATAATTCTGAGCAACGTACTGACAAAACTCTAATTTTATTTATATAGATATTGTATGTGTGTGAATTTGAAGGTAAGGTGTTTTTTGCCTCTGAGGACCTCAAAACAAAAACATAAATGGGTCCCGGGTCTAGGTCTTATAAGAGTTACAGTTTTTTAGCTTATATTCCCTATATGGGAAATTCGCTAAAATGTTATGTAAAGATTACAAAAATAGTGGACATCTGATTAGAAGTGATTTCGGGAAACAATTTATTCTTGATTTTTCTTTATTTTGATTCATGGAATATCTACATGAATTTGACTGTTTACATAATATGGGACACCGTGTATGTAATATACAGGGTGTCTAAAAAGTACCTTGAAATATTTTGTGTATTTATTCCTCAGGTCATTACAATAAAACAACATCACGTAAACATCAGCCTAAAATGCCTGTTTCTGTCTAGGTCTGAATGTGATTTTTACCAACTTATCCTTGACTTCAAACTTAATACATAAGTTCAAGTCTAGATTTTTCCCATTATCCGCTCATCTCGTTAATATTCCCCGCTTTTACCCGGCAAGAGGTTAGTTAGTACCTTACACAGCCCAAAACAATTCCCTGATTGATTTCCAAAATACCCTAAACAGCGGGTTAAACAAAACTAAAATCCCCGCTTGACTTTCAAAATTACCCAAAAAACAATGAGTACAAGGGAACTGCTTACACCTCAAGTGTTTTGTTTGAAAAACAAAAGGACACCACATCTAATGCAGGTGTTGTACAAATACCCTGACATAAAATATATGTTAAAATTTCAAAGTTATGTTTTTTTTTTGTGAATTTCCCATATAGGGAATAAGCTATTACGGTAGGTCTCATGATAAGACCTAGACCCGGAACCAATTTACTTGTTCGTACTGAACAAGCTTTTTATCTATATACATTTTTAATAACTGTATTTAAAATTTTGTAACTTGCATTACATATAAATAATGTGAATATTGAAATGGATAAAACAAATTAAGCTTTTCTTTTTGTTTCTAATTTATAGATCTCCATCATCCAACAGTTATTGTAAATCACCTCTGCACCGAGTGTACAAGAAGTCACTTGACCAAACTGCATAACCACCGGTAGTAGTGGTATAGATTTGTATGCTTATCTTCCCGGACCATGTAATAAAATGCAAATACATCCATCCCAACGAGAGATGATGTCCACAGGGATTGAAATTAAATTCAACCAGGGTTTGAGGCTCAGAAAGACCTTGTTTGGGGTGGGCACTATTGTACGGTGTGACCGTTTTGAACTCACCGGGGAAGACCAATTCGGCCTATTGGGAGAAAATGCTAGTAATATTTGTAAACCTGGGAAACATTCGAGGTTCGTAACCAAATGAGAATTGCCGAATTGGTAATTTGTAGGGACTGTAGGGTGGAAAAAATCAAATGGGCACTTAGTCGGTCGGAGCAAGCAAGCTCGTGAAGGGTTTGAATCTACAGTGGCCTGCGGTTCGCTCAATACAATCAAGATAGACTCGTCGGATGAAGATAATGATAGTGGTAATAATAATTAATTGTGTTGCCACTGATGATGGTGATTCTACCAATGATGATGATGTTGATCGTGGTGGTAAATTAGAGTCACAACAGGAATTAAATGAGATCGTAATACTCTAAACAAGCTTTTTTTATCAATATAATTAAACAATTACAAGCCTCACACAAACAACAATTACAATTGTAACAAACAACAAATAACAATTACAAGCTGATAAATTATAACAAACGTTAGTTATATATTTAAAATGTTGTAACTTTTATCCATTAATAAGTAAAGTAAACATGTACCTAAATATTTTATTCTATAAAACATGACTTAAATGAAATAAAAGTACTTTGAGCAAGCTTTTTTTATCACAATACATTTAGGTAAATAATATTGTAAATTTTTTAACTTGTACATTGTATTTTAATAAAGTGTACCTATCCTTTAATATTAAATTTATGTCGAATACATGAAATGTACACTTCTTGTTATACCATTAGTTTTGTTGGTGGAGAAAATAAACATTATACCTGAAATTTACTTTGTATTTATTTTCCTTTACAATATCTTATCATGCTTGAACTAGTTTAGTTAGTAAACAGTTGTGTTGTAGAATGGTGTAGTATAGTGTTGAGACAGAAGGTCAAAAAATACATCACCTCATGAATGAACCAGAGCATGATAATGTGATTGTGTATAAAAACAATCCATATAATAAAAGAAATCAACTAATGTCAAACCTTTGCACATAGTACATAAAAGGAAAATCTCAATTTGGGGAATTATTGTCATCAAAAAACCTAATCATGATAGTTTCTGATCAAATATACAGATATACAATAGGTAAGCATATATCGCTTGATTTTCTAACTTCTTATGATAAACATAATGTACCTTTAAAGTAATTTATAACCAGTACATGTACAGTTAGAAACTATTACAGCTTTATTTCTAGATTTCAACCTATATCAAAAACATTTAGTTTTAAATATCACATACTATCATTGATGAATAATCATGCAAGGTAGCACTACCTATGTAAATGTTTATCATGATATCTTAAAATATGGGTCTGCAATTCCAAATGTTAACAAATATTTTGTAATAACTGAATCCACAATACCAATAAGGTCCCTTATAACTCTTTATAAATCAGCCATTTCGTTTACAAAATGTGTACTTACTTGATATAAGCATAGACTAAGCAACACTCCTAAGGGAGTATGTTTTATCTATGATATAAGTTATAATGTGGTTATAATGGTTTTCTTCAGAACTCAAATTGATGATTATCAAGAAAAAGGAACTACACAAGCGCTTCAAGCAGAGTCTCGATGACCGAACATATCTCCAGTTTCGCGGTGTTCGAACTATATGCAAGAGGATAACGAGGGAATGCTACTCAGCTTACATCGAGACTATGTTGATTCATCTATAAAAGCCAATATTCATGCCTTCTGGAGTTGTGTGAATTCTACCAAGAAACTGCCCTCCCTGCCTTCAAGAATGAAGTTGGATGCTGAAGTTGCTGATAGTCACCAGGATATCTCCAATCTTTTTGCCAAATTTTTCGCCTCCGTTTATAAGTCTCCGTCATCTATACCCCACCAGATTATGAGCTAAATGCAATCACCTCAATCTCGTCATGTTATGTTAGCTGTTCGGAGGTGGAGGATGAGCTGAATTCACTTGATACAAGGAAAGGTGCTGGACCCGACGACATATCACCACTGGTCTTGAGGTTCTGTAGCAGTGTTTTATCACCTCATATCACCATATATTTCAACTCGCTCATGGCTGCTGGTGTCTTTCCCTCAAATCTTAAGAATGGTTATGTAACACCAATTTTTAAGTCCAAATCTCCTGCTGATGTCAAGAACTATCGCCCTATTGTAATTCAGTCCACATTGGCAAAGATTTTTGAATCGCTTGTGCTGAAGAGATTGTCATTCGCTCTGAAGAGTGTGATTAATGCATAACAACATGGATTTATGAAGGGACGCTCAACCACTACGAACCTCTTGTCCTTCCAGAGTAATGTTACTACAGCCTTCTTAAATTCCCACGAGATTGACGCTGTTTACACGGATTTCTCCAAGGCCTTTGACCGAGTTAGCCACAAACATTTGATTGCTAAACTTAGAGCCACTGGAATAAATGGACCCCAATTTGGTTAGAGAGCTACCTCCAGGATCTGTTTCTTCAGGTGCGAGTGGCTGGCTCTTTGTCTCAACTGTTTCCTGCTATTTCCGGGGTTCCTCAGGGATCGCTTCTGGGCCCGGCCTTGTTCACCATATTCATCAATGATTTGGTTCAGCATTTGGGTTCAAATGTACTGCTTTTTGCTGATGATGCCAAGATCTTCAGAGAGATTTCTCATGTGAGAGACTGTGAGGCTCTACAGAATAGTATTGATTTACTGTCAGTGTGGTGCCAGATGAATTAAATGTCTCAAAGTGCTCGGTGGTAACCTTCACCAGATCTATAATAATCCTATTATTCATCTGTATAAACTTGCAGATCAGCAGCTTCAACGTTCTTCAAAGGTCAAAGACTTAGGCATCATACTCTCTCCTGACCTCAATCCTCAAGAGCACATTAACTATATTTGCAAGAAGGCCAACTCAGCACTTAATTTCATCACCAGGGTCAGTCATGACAGATTTTCAGTATCGGCACTGATGGTAACTCTTTATATCCATCTTGTCAGACCCATACTTGAATTTTCTTCCACAGTTTGGAATCCATACCAGTTTGGTCAGATCGCCAGGCTGGAAAACACTCAAAGCCGTTTTCTTCGCCTGGTTGGTCTACGTTTGGGGATGCAATACCGTGCTGTTCCTGTTCATGATCTGCAACTCCAGTTGAACCTGTTGCCTCTTTCTACCAGACGTGAGGTTAATGATGTCTTGTTCTTTAAGAAGTTGGTCACATCCTCCATTTTGATGCTCCCAACCTGCTCTTGGAACTAGACTTCCGCACTTCACGTAGCCTTCGCCATACCCAGCTGTTTGCGAGGCGGCAGTCGGCGGCAGTACTCAACACAGTACATGTACCACAGTGCAATTCCTCGTCTGCAACGTCTGGCAAACAACCTACCCGGTCAATTGGATCTGTTCAGCATGAACAATGAAACGTTCAAGAAAAAACTTGTTAGCAGCATGCGTTCCTCATACATTGAATAATATTGTTTGTTTTTCTTGCTTTATTGTTACATATCATATTTATATTGTTATTTATTATATTTTGTTATATTCATTTCCTATTTATAGGTACTGTTGTTGCTTGTTATATCTATATTTTGTTATATCTATATCCTGATATATTGTATATCTTGTTATGTCTTAAATCTTGTTGTATCTTATATCTTTTTATGTCCTACATCTTGTTATATCTTAATCTTTTTGTTGTCTTATTGTTAATCTATTTATTGATTACTTCAAGTTGGCTTAAATTGCTTCAAAAATGTCCATTTTAACTTAAGTCTATAATGTTTTGTTTTGTCATATTTATGTATTGGTTTGACCGTTGGTATGAATAAATAAATAAATAAATGTGAAATTTTCAAACAAAGTAGGACAGGTACCTTTATATTCAGTTCATTTGATAGTACCTAACAATAATCAACCAAAGCATTTTGATTCTTATAGCAAAAAATATTATTGGTTCAATAAATAATGATGTAGAAAAACCATAAAAAATTCATTTATTTTTAAGTATAATCAAATTAAATTAATCGGTATCTCAGAAATAAAAAATCGAATGTTTTATTTTTTAGATCAGTTAAGATAAGGAGGATGAAAATAATTTCAAAAGTAGGCCTAATGATAAGATAAGAAACCCTGATTTATTGTAATGTGGTTTTGTCATTTTACTTTAGTTAGTGTTGAGATTTTATAGTGACAATTAATGATGTTAAAAGGATTGATAAAATTTGGAGGTTATTTGGGTTACACTAGTAGAGAAAGAAAGGACAAATCCAGCCGTGTTTGGGGACATCAAAATGAAAAAAGTAGGTCCCGGGTCCAGGGTATTACCATTAAATTGGCAAATAGCAATCACTTTGTCCCATGATATATAACAACGGTTGCTTTTGCCACTCTTACGCCACGGTCCGCAATCCGCGTTCCGATCTAAATGTTCTGATGGGGCTGGTTTCGTTGCAACATGTGTATTCTTATTATTATTATTAGTGTGCTCTCTCCTTAATTATTATAGATGCCCAAGGTGTACAGATTTGAAAGGATGGTGTTTTTGGCTTCTGAGGTCATTAAAACGAAAAATTATATCTGTCTCTGGTCTAGCCTTCTCAAATTTAGGATATGATTTTTGATATGGTCAACAATACACTGAGAACACGCACGTAAAATGTGATACTTTTTGTCGGCTGCTATATTGTAATAAAATAACTAGTAATTTATCTTTCATATAGTACTAGCTCTAGAAGTTTTTAGGCCTACTAGATTAAAATCCCTTAAGGCCTGGATTTAGCTGTAGCAGAACATATTTGAAACAGAATAAAAAAATAAAATGAGAGGTTATAAACAATTATAAACAAAAAATAAATGAATAACACAACATGGCTACCACTAAAGAACTTGATGTCAGGTGGATCCGAAGATATAGAATATTTTGTTTAGGTGGATGTGTTATATGCGTTATTCAAGTCTTCCTAGCTTATATATTTTTTACAATTCATGCAGATGATGGAAAAATTCTTGGGAAATATATTATTAGCAAAAAGGCTCCTTTGGAGGTTAGTTTTCTCTTACTTGATTTGAGTGTTACTAGGCCTAGTCCTAGTTGTAGTAGTATTTTGTCATTGATAATGTCCACATTATATTATTTTTTAACCATCCTAATCATTATCAGAACTGATTAAGTCATCATAACTAATCCATCAGGCAGTTGGTAATAAAATAAGCCAGTCAATGGTAGAAAACCTAAGGGCCTAAAATCTAACTCTTACTAACTTAATAGACTAAGGTAGGGTTTAAAGTGAAGATGTTGTTAGGCCTAAATAATATAAATTAATATTTTGAAATTTGAATGCCAGTCTTAACCCTATTTTCTACCAGTCCACAATTAGGCCTAACATCAATCTGAGCATAGGCTACCGTAGGCTACTGTAAAATTACCCTTTTACCACCGTTCAATTTAATTATTAATGAAAGCACAACTGCTAATTGTAAGTGTTAACTTATTACATCTCTATTTGTCTATATTTTAATATTTGAAAACGAGATTTGTACATTTTTACCGATTTCTGTTTGTCTTTCCATGACACCAAACTCAATCAATCAATCAATCTTTATTTGCCATAAGGATACATTTACATATCATTGACAAAGTCTATTTGCAGTTTTCAAACCAAGTCTTAAAATAAACAATAAAATACTCTTACAGGCCAAATATTACAATCAACATTCAAATCCATTCACATTCTTAACTGAAATTAAAACCAAACTAAAGGACAATTTCTCCCAGTTTAAAATAATCATCCAGACTATAAAAAGGGTTCTGAAGTAGATAATTATAAAACATAGCCTTAAATTTGTTAATTGAATGAAAATTTATATTATTTTTTACTGAATTATACACTTTAATTGATAAAATTATGTGGCAATTACTAGTTTTACTAAGACGATGGGATTCTAACAGCGCAGTATTTTTAAAACGAGTGTTGTGACTGTGATTATTAAATTGAAGATATTCAGGGTTTTTTAATATATAAACAATCAGATCATAAATGAACAAATTTACTGCAGTTTGAATTTGCAGATCTATAAAAAGAGGTTTGCAATGATCAGGGTGCGTCCCTGTCATAGCTCTTAAAGCCCTTTTTTGGAGAATCAAAAATCACTTGACCAACCAAAGAGAAGTTTAGTCAAAGATTTGTTATAGGTAGGTAGGTTACTGTTGGCTTACTGAGTAGGCTAATAGACAGCTAATAATACAGTGCTCAAGACTTCACTCGTCTTCAGTCATCAATAAATGCAGTGATGAATTGGTGCATTGACAATTCAATGAGTCTGAACACCTCTAAATGTGTCGTTATGTCCTTTTCTCGCAGTCAGAACACTCATGAGCATGGCTATTTTCTTGGGGACGACCCTCTGCGTAGAGTTTGGAGGTATAAAGATCTCGGCATAATAACTACTCCAACACTTCATCCAGGAGAGCATATCCAACAAATTTGCCACAAATCAAGTTCCACTCTGGGCTTTCTCTTCCGCTTCACTCGAGGACTCTCCATTAATGCCTTGGTGTTGCTTTTTCGTGCACTGGTTCGTCCCACCCTCGAATACAACTCTCCTGTCTGGGCTCCATATCAGACTGGACTCATATCTTCGCTGGAGAGAGTTCAAGTTCGTTTCATTAGGGTCCTTGGCTGCAGAATGGGATATCGCTACCTTGATGCTCCCGTGAATCTCATCAGATCTCAGTTTAATCTATGCTGCTTGGAAGATCGGAGGAAAATTTCGGACGCTCTGTTTCTTATGAAGATTGTAAGTGGAAATATCGACTGCCCTGAGCTTTTGGGAGGAATACCATTCCACGTTCCTGTCCGCACAAGATCCAAGGATACGTTTGAGCGGAGGCACTACAATACTGTATATTTACAGCGAAGCACTATCCCTCGCCTTTTGCGGGTCGGCAACGAGGTCGGCGCAGTGTTGGATTTTCACCGTTCCAGCGTGGCTGCTTTCCGCTCCAATCTGTGTCGCCTCTTCTCTGTAAATAATTTGTAGTTAATGCTTACATCATGTTAACGGCACTGTGTTCAACCTTCGATCAGCTATTTATTTTTGTCACTTTAGTATTTATATCTGTTTTTGTCATGTAAGTCTTGCTTAGAGGATTCCAAACCGTGTATTTATTGTTTTGTTAAGTCTTGTTTTGTTATTGTTTTAAAAAGTTTATCATGGTTTCCATCTTCATTGTTATGTTTTTCTTGTTCTTGTTATTGTAATTTATTCAGAATAGCCTTTATTTGTTGTTAAATTTGAGTTTGATAGCTACTACTTACTGTACCTCTTGTAAAAATGGTGTTACCGTGGAAATAAATGAATTGAATTGAATAGACATCCATTTGTAATCAACGATGGTCTTAAATGTTAGGGCTATCTAGGCTACACAAGAGCTTTAGCCTAAAATACCACTTCCCTCTTTAACATAAGTTGTGTGCACATTCAACTTGTTTTAAAGAACAAGTCCAAGTCAAGTCAAAACTATTTATTCCGTAAAATAAAAACAATCATTACTATAAGCTACCTACATCGTAAGTAACTTAAGAGGGATTATTCCCCCGAATAGACTATTGATCCGTTATCGGGGGAAGAAGCAGATAACTTAAGTTAATGCTGAACTTACGACTTAATAGACCTAGCATTGGCCTTTTGTGATTTGCTACCCTCCTCATACTTGCATAAACATTGCCATGGAATCATGAATTGTGCTTAGGCAAAATAATGCAAACTAACTTAAGCCAAAACTTGAAGCGAGGACGATATATCAAGTAAATAATTTACCAAGTCAATTAACTTATTTGGTCAGGTTTAGCCTACAATATGCATTTTCTATGCCAATGAATATATAAAAGTAGGCTACAATTTGTCTAATAAAATAGAAAATTACTAGCCCAACTTAAAAAAATGTTTTCATATGATGATGCACTTGTGCATGAACAATGCAGTTCATACTTAAAAGTTACTTGATTACTGCATCATATGTATGTGAGCTACAAAGTCGGAAAATATTGCATTACATATAATACTTCCAAAGTTCCATGTGCCTATGACCACCCACCCGTTAGTGAAAACCTATCGAACATGGTAGGTTTAGTAGCATTTAGACCCCTTGATACACACACCATGTCGTCCATCTGGATACCATATTAATGCTATTTTAAACCGTTTACAATTTCGTACTAACTTACAGAATAGGCCTACATTTCTGATTTTGCATTCTCTTTAAATTTTAGCTATTTGATGATCGAAATGACGTAGAGTCTTCAAGGAGGTTTAAAGAAGGGTTAGATGATGATGAAGATGACAGCCCCGGAAACAGTAATGCAGTCGAAACGAGATTAAAAGTTCCACCTGATAAAACTGAAAGTAAAAATAGAAACAAAGTGCCTGCAAAATCAAAAACAGATTCTCACAGTCCAGATGCCACACACCGGTAAGTTCACAATTCCTACCTAATAGAAGTAACTCCAACGTTTTATTGGATTCATACATTTAGTAAAATTTACAGTATGGTAAACTATCAATCAATCAATCAATCAACTTCTTTATTTCATAAAATGCACAGATTGGTACATGAAATTGTGTCAACATAAGTTTTCTTATCTAGATCGCTAAAACTAGGGATTTACAGTATAGTTTTTTTAGTGAGTTTCAATTACAAAAAAAAATCTTGAATGGAGTAAAATGCTGATTCAATTAAAAATCTGTTTAATGATTTTAAAAATTTATTTGGATTTTTCTCCAATTTTAAAGTTTCTGGAAGGTGATGTAAAAATTTGTTTCCTAAATAACTAGTTTTTAGCGAATTTCCCTATAGGGAAGTAGCTATTACCGTAGGTGGCACGGTAAGACCTAGACCCGGGACCGATTTACTTTTTCATTTTGATGTCCCCAGAGGCCAAAAACACTATTCGTTCAAATTTTTATATATGTATTTATATATATATATACAATATAGACTTATATATATATATAGACTTATATATATATATACGTCCGTGAACGCGATAACTTGAGTAATTTTTGTCCGATTTTGATGAAATTTGGTTTAAAGGTGTAAAGCGGGATAAACTTGAATGAGTTCGCGAACCAGCACGATCGGACCACGGGAACGGGGCTTTACGGGGGGTTTTATGGGGTAAAAATTGGTTTTTCTCACTTTTGCCCCTCAAAACACAAAATTTCCCAATTTCTGTTTAGACCTTTTTAAAAAAGGGCTTAAAAAAACAAATAATCTAGTATATAAAAGTATTTTTGTTAAATTATTAGTAACGGAGAAAATTTAAAAAATTGTAAATTTAAAATTCCCATGTTATTCTTATGGAGAATATTGTCAAATGTTGTAGTTTGCTTGTTTATGAATATATTTTGATCAAACTTGTCAAATTTATTTATTTTGTACTAAGCTATCAATATTTTAGGCCTACTCAAAAACACACTTTATTTGTTTCCTTGTAGCAGCAAACCTAGGTACTCGTTAAACCTAATGTTATTAAAATATAATTTAACTGAAAATCAATTCAGACAAATGGAAATTCGCTTAGTCGGCAGGTTTGCTGCGGCGGGGGTATTTTCTTATAAAATTCCAAATTGTGTTGCTCTACCAATCGGTGTGATCTTGTGTTATATTTATGAATATGGTTACCTATTGCAATTTTATCATTCATCAAAACAAATTTAATTGACTCATAAATGAAAAGACTGTAGACTGTGAATATTTTATGTATACAAAAGACTTGCATTACCGAGGTCGTTGATCTTAAATTCAACATTATCCTCAATGCCCTTTTTTGCTGGAGCAAAACTCTGTCCATGTTTTTTTTTGTGGTAGATCCATAGACACAGACGCCATAGGCAACATGTGAATGAATTAATGCATAATAGACTGCTTTTAACGTTTCAATATTACATGATGTAGCAATTTTTCTCAATGCGTAAAGGGTAGGCCTACCGGATGTTATTCTAATAAGATTGTTAATATGATTATCCCATGCCAGATTTTCATCTATGATTAAACCTAAAAATTTTGAGTGGTCTTGAATTGGGTCAATACGGTACATGATTATCAACTATGTTAACTAATGAAATGTTAAAGGATATACCGGCTGTTAGGGTACATAAAATAAAACAACTTTTTTTGTGTATCCAGAATCTAGGGCTGCTTTAATGAATGGGTCAAGGCATAGGGGCGTAAGAGGTTTTATATTTTTGTCAGGGCACCCAGGGGAGGGGGTGCAATTATTTCTCTGGCACATAAAGCGACACAAGCAAACCGTGGGCCTACCAGAATCTGCAGATTATGCAGCCAAATTGTTAACCCTACCCATAATAGCCTATATCATAGACTAAGCAACACAAGTAGACTCCTCATCCTATTGTAAATTTTGAAACTTGTTTTTTGTGTCTAGTTCATGTATGTCCACACTGATCGCTGGGGTAGACAAAATTTTGTTTCTATTATTTTAGGGTTATTTTCATGATTTGTGCTTTACTATTTGGTTATATAACTAGGAGACCAGTTATTGTTTATAATTATATTGTTTTATTCGGTTAAATGAGGTTTTAAATTATTGAAATAACTTGAAACAAATTGTAAACAAAACAAGATCTCTACAGTTGGACGTACAGAAATAACAATAAAATTGGCTTCAGCTGTTCCATAAGGATGACAAATCTACTAAGGGAGTATGTTTTATCTATGCCTATATTAATAAAAACTATATACCGGTACCTCAACTTAACATATCAATTATCAATCATTCATATGTGGACCTCACCTATGTTGCGTCATTTTAACCCAAATATAATTGAAGGATGAGTGTGGAATGGAGTGTAATGTTCTGTGTGTAGCTTAGTTACTAAGATCAGCTGTTTCATATAGCCAACCACAAAGGTATATGCTGTGTTAAGATTCACATGATGCTGCAAAACCGTAAATTTGAGAAAAGCGTAAGCCGCACACGAGTGTGAGATTATCCAGTTGAAATAATTGAGCAGGATGAACAGCAGGCGTGGTTCGTTTCTGTAACCATGATCAGCTAAAATTCACACACCAAATGCATCGTTTGATAAAGTCATGATGTTTCTCTGGTAGGGAGAATTATCTTGAGAAATGTAAATACCGTACTTTGTCAAATATTGGATTTTCAAATGTTATTAAAAATGAACATAACAGGCCAATAATTTTAACTTTCATCCAAACCAAAATTAATTGACTTAGGCTGAGTTAATTGATATTTTCAAGAACACTAAACGTTAACAAATACAGTAGGCCTATCTAAGCTTGTCTTAAGCACAAAATGAGACAAAAGTTTATTTAACCTTCTCTTTTATAGCAGCAATAAAACATTTAGTCTTCGGCTGGAAGAGCTGGATTTCGTGCCAATGTGTGAGATCACAGGTCGGGAGGCTGTGTCAGCCATACATCGCGCAAAGACGCAACACTGCAAACAGCTCTTGGCCAACATCACGTGCCTTAACCTGCAAGGAGACTTGTATCCCCATCAACTTCCACACCTGTGTCCCAACAATGGTAAATACTACAGCTGATTATGTTTATAGCCTTTAAGTTGTTCATCCGCTACGAGATGTATAAACATGTTCTCAAATAATGGTTTGAAACGTTACCTGTGTTCCTATTTGAACAATTTACTGTGGTGTCTATAGAAAACATCTTTTTTGTGTTACGGAAAAAGGAGCATATCTTAAAAGAATTATTTTCTACTAGTGTTGTGTCTTGTAGACTATCAGCATTTGCTTGACCAGTAAAATCATCTTTTTTGTGTTGCGGAAAAAGGAGCATATCTTAAAAGAATTATTTTCTACTAGTGTTGTGTCTTGTGGACAATCAGCATTTGCTTGACCAGTATTACAAGTTTTGTGTGCTTATGTTATGTTTCATGTTATTACTGTACCGTATTGATATTTTAAACTTTCTGATGAACTCCGCATTGAGGGATTTGTAGAATGTTAATATCTGTATTTTGCATTTTGTAAGTACAGTATCTGACATTCTACCTGATGTGCTCCATTTCCATTGGAGGAAGGTTAACATAAACCTTTATTTGAAGTCATGTAAGTATTTTTGATAAAAGGCTCTAGGCTAAAATAAGTTTTAAGTTTTTAGGAAATGAAGAGAACTCTTAACTGTTAAGTGGGTTCTTAGTCTTCCCAATAGGCGAGACAGAAATTAACACACTAAAATTAAAATAATTCATACTAACTTACCTGTTACACAGAGGTTGAATAGGATGCAGTCAGTTAAGTGCCAACCCTTCGAAGAAAAAAGGTGTACAGTACTATGTTTTGAATTTTTGAGTAGGTACAGTTATTTGTAAACAGGTTCCCTTGTCAAACAATTTAATTTCTGGACATTCTCTTCCTTAGGAATGGAAGCAGGAAAATTGCTGGGATGTTACAAGGACGAGAAAGCCTTCCGTCTGTTGTCTGGCTACTATACCAATCTGAAGACAACCAACTCTCCTCAAAACTGTATCAACTTGTGCCTTCAGTCTGGCTTTCCCTACGCCGGAGTGCAGTATGTGTAAGTCACCCATCAATCGATACCACACACTCCAGCAAAATCTTGTTTAGTTGTTGTTCTTATGGCAAGTGACACTCAATTCACTAAGTTTCAGTAACATAACCAGTACTGCAGCTCAATTTTGATTTGCCAAGAAAATCTTTTTGAATAAAATTTTCAATTGAGGGCCGAAGTCGGTGAAATTTAAAATATAATTTGGAAAATAAATCCTAATCTAAAACTAATTTGTTTTTGTATTAGGCTATGTATTTCATTAAAGTTTTGGGATTGTCTTTGACAAGCTGAGATGTAGTCATGTTTTACATTGCTGACAGTGATGTGTGTTTTGTTGCTAGCAATGAGTGTTTCTGCGGCAACGACGAGCCGCTGTCCACTGCTCGACTCCCAGACTCGTCGTGTAACATGAAGTGTCCCGGGGACCCTAGGGAAGCTTGTGGAGGGTACTACACCATGAATGTCTACCAGACAGGGATAGCTAGTGAGTAACTAGAACATATCTAGGCCTACATTTTACATCTTACATGTTGTAGACCTGAAATTTGTAAGGGTACTAGCATAGTAGAGGTCATGGAATCTCTACATCGAACAAATGAAAGGTGTCTTCCAGTGAAGAGATCACTGTGGAGGTGTACCACCCTGTTTACATAGAGGTATAGGGCGAGTTATCCCTCAGAAACAAAATACAGAGAACATTGAACCACAGCTTAATGACTGTCTTGAGAACCTTACAGTATGGGGCAACTACAATGCTACTTACAAAGAGGGGGTGAGAGCTTAGACTCTTCAAAGAACCAGACATTCCAACCCAATATTAAAGTTATCTACAGTCTAAAGTTGAATTGGATGTAGTTGAATTTAGCTATCTAAAGATTGTGCTGATCAAACTGATTCTGTTGAACACATGTCTTTTAAGTCAACTGATAGGACTAGCATCTATTACATAACATCAACTATATCGGTAACGCAAACTAATTGAGAAAATAGAATTTTAGACAGTAGCGCACCCACGAGTGGTTCATTCAATTTCTTTTTTAAAATTAATTACAGCTGGTTTTATATAGATGATGGGATGTATACTGCAGTGTTCAAAAATAAATGGCAAGACGCATCGAGGAAATATTAATAGTTTGACTTATTGGCTGCATTCTTCTTTCTCAATACTGAACTCGACTCTTGTTTGCAGAGTTTAGTGCCCAGCCACCCAGTGAACTGCGGCGTGACGGGGAGGGAGAGAGGGCGGAGGGCAGTGAGGGCGTGTCTCGACCCGTCAGAGTTGCCTTCCTACTCACTCTCAACGGCCGAGCTGTGCGACAGGTCTATAGACTTATCAAGGCTCTCTTCCATCGCGACCACTACTTCTACATTCATGTTGATGCGGTAAGTAAGCTTCAGTGATGTATTGAGTGGTCCATTGACTTATCACCTGTTAGAGTATTTAAATCCCAATAAGCCCTCTGTTGCATAGTTTCCTTCTTGTGGATAGTTTCGTATAACTACCCTCTTGCGCCTTTTATATCTAGTCTAGTTAGGATTAACTTAGGCCTAAATGTCATTAAGTATTGTAATAATAACAAAAAATTGATATAGGCCTAGACCAGATGATAGGATTGACAGTAGCCTAAATGTCTAGTTACTGATAAAAAACTAGATACTGTTGTAATTTACAGTATTCTCAATTAACAATTCAATACCAGGGGAGCATTGCTTGTTGTGTTTGAGAGGTTAAAAACATAGGCCTACATGTCTACGATTTCCTTCCATTATTATAAAATTCAGTATAAATCTATATAAATAAAATTAGAGTTTTGTCTGTACTTTGCTCAGAATTATATACTTTTAGGTTATTTTTACGTTTTATACATTAAAGAAGCAGAAACGAGTCTTATCTCTATTTCTGTCTGTCTGTCTGTCTGTCTGTCTGTCTTTCCCTTTGTCTGTAACACTCAAGATGGCATTTTACGCAATCTTCTCCGTGAAAACCAGAGTACCTATCAAGATACAAGTCATTTTAATGTATTCACTGGATTGGCGAGAGTGTCTTTAGTGATTTAAATATAGCCTCACTACTTTGTAAATAAAATTACGGACGTTCAAAAATGCAGTATTGTGCGATTTTTGTCAAATTTTCGTTCAATTTTTATCACATAATCGTCTATGAAATACCGAACAGCTGTTCGGATCAAGATTATTTTTTCTAGCTGTCAATGATATGTTTACAAATGTTGTTTACAAATACCGCAACCATTTCGAATCACGTTTTGAAAGCAAATCCCAACCAAGTGAGATTAAAAACGTTTTTCTTACATAACGGATTTAATTAATCGCAAGTGCAATAATATAGTCTAATAGTGTAACCGTAAATGAAATTAAATAACTAGACATCGTCCAAATCGGAACCAGAAATTCTTTGAGTATAAAATGTTTCTTGAGTTTTGACAACCAGAAAGAAGACCTTGAATCAGTGTTGTATAGGGCTGGACACTGAAATGATCGTCGCCAATAGCTTACAAAAAAGGTTTCCACTCATTGACGGCGCTTCAATGGCGGTTGTGTAAAGTGTAAAGTAAAAAATCACAACTGCAGTGGGTGATTGTAACAGAGGTTTAACAGAGGAAGTGCTAAACTCGCTTTTCCAATGTGTCACTTTCTGTTTCTACTCACCGTGTGATGCAATCGCTGGACCATACAGCCAATAGGCCCATAGCTCATATCTTGGGTACGTAAGCCTACTTATTTATTCATAACAACCTTTTTGACGACGATCCTTGATACCGGTACTTTTCCATAGAATACATGGCCTACCTACTTAAGAAATATATACAAATGACCAAAACCCCAACATTGTGTGATTTTCGTCACATTTCCTTCTAATGTTAATAGATATACTAATCATTGTTTAGAGAATGCGTAATCTATTAAATAACAAAAAGTTGTTTGGGTAAGGTTGTTTTTTTTTTTTCAAACTGACACCGATAAGTTTACGCTATAACTTTTTACGAGAAAATCCAAAAGTAAGAGATCAATAACCTCGGGACTAGATATTAATGTATTTAATTGGTCGGATGTACTATAGTTCTTAGGTAGGTTCTTACGTAAGTACTGGTTCTTTTCCTTAGAACCGTTGGTAGCTGCTAGAATCATTTTTACGTAGGTACCAACACATCACTGTAGTTTACAAATTAGTTATCGTTGGTGTTGCACCTTATTTATTAGAGCCGTCCGTATTCAATTTAAGTGATGTCTTAACTCTGTATAAGTTTAGCTTTTTTCTGTCTGGATTCCAAATCTTAGCTTACCCGGTATGCTAAGAAAATGATAACCTATTTGAGTAAAACATTTGTTGGGCAAACCATCATGAATTGTTTACGCCTTTATATTGTTTATGTATCAATAGTTTGTGGCCTTTTTTGGATTGTTGTGTGTATGTCTGTTGGTAACGCATTAATGTCCTTATTTCTCAGTGTTTCACGGAATGAACAAGAGCACCTTTGATACTGAAAATTTCAACCGGAATAAAGTGTTAAATGGTGAGGTTGAGGTAGTACTTTAAATACGTTTAAGTTAACCGATGTGGAAAGTAACTTTCAATTATAGGCCTACTTTAGGGCAACGCTTCATGGATCTATAAAACATTTTTTAGTTCAATCATTGGACATATGGACCATAACGATCCGGGTGACATTTAATTGCGAAGCATTTATTTTGGCTTGAACTGTCAGATACTGTATTTGCGAAGGTTTATATATAATAGTTTTGCCAGCATATCTGCAAATATGCAAACTAACTGCTGTTCTTAATATTAATATAAGAAGGTTTCAACTGACTACCATAAGATCCCCTTGCGTAGAACGGGCACACAGCTAGTATGTAATAAAAATCAAACGGATTTTATAATCAGCTGATGTAGATTGTATTGTCCTGACAGAGACAAGACTACATGTTCCGTGAACTGTTGGCGCTAGAGATGCAGCTCAGCAATGTAAGACTGTCTCGCAGACGACACTCTACTATCTGGGGAGGAGCTAGTCTACTCACGATGTTGCTAGAGAGCATGCGTGAGCTGGTAGATGCTGATTGGGAGTGGGACTTTGTCATCAACCTCAGCGAATCAGACTTCCCTGTCAAGTAAGTTTGCTCCACGAATGTTTGTTTACAAGTTGGTTAATATTTCTTAATAGAGAATTGGAAAATGTTGTTTAAAAAACTATTTTTTCAATGTTAAACTCAACTCAGAAATAGACTTAAGCCTTTTAAGTACCGCTGTAAAAGCATGTTTAGTTTGTAGGTTCTGAATGAGGATCTACAATCGCTTGCTTAAAGAAACCAAATCCATTTAAAATTTGCCCAATCCACAACAAATATGATTACTTCAAGCTATTTAATATTACTGAAATTAATAATATTTCAATATTTCAACTTAATATTTGCCAAGAAAATTGTGAACTTTTTTAAGATATCATAAATCAAATTCTATTCTGTTTTTTACATATATCCAATATATATATATACAGTTCATAATGCATCAAGAATTGAGATTATAAACATTTCCTACCCTACATGTCTGTTATAAGAAAACTAGTGGAAATTTAAATCCGCCTCTATCAGCTGTTGGATGCTTGCAATGTACGAACATTTTTCTTGAAGAATTTCTTCAGCTTCTTTTAACTTGTAGTTTTGGAGTAAATTATACACTGTGAACAAAAAACACAGGTATTACCTTTAAAACAGTCATAGTTTTAACATTTATAAAAAGTAGGCATAGTCAAATCAAAAATCACACCCAACATTTTTTACAAAATATTTACCCTAAGTTTAACCAATAGCATCAACATAGATATCAAAATCAGTCTCTAGTTAAATTTAGTAAACTTTTTTACATTGACTCCAGTAGCATTTTTCAGGAGAGGCAAAGTACAGTGTATTCAAATAACGCTCTTTGAGAGAGCAGTCCAAACTCAAATGGGTGGTTTAAACTCTTATTTAATAGTATTCAGTAAAATGTTATATTACCTTTAAGAAAAGTGTCAAAGCCGAGGATGTTTTCTAGTTGTGCTCTTCTGCTCTCAATTTCATTGTAGTCTAGTATTTTACATTCAGTACTGGACTCGGAGTCTAGATCTGGAAAGTAAATTTAACAACTTATATATTGTTTAATACCATTAATGGAATCACAGTTTTTCAACTTTCTTTATATTCCTAGGTTATATTTCAAATGAAAACCAACTAGCCGGTAAAAGATTTTTTCAAAGGAATAGACTTCAGCTAGCGTACCTGAGAAGAGTTTAGAGGCTAATAGAATAAAAAATAAAATAAAACAACACGAAATACAACACCGATATTTCATCCTGATGTAGGACTTCCTCAGAGTGGATTGAAAAGAAAATCTTAAAAACAATTTTCTCTTCAACCTACTTTTTGTAGAAGTCCTAAATAAGGATGAAATATCAGTATTATGATTTGTGTTATTGTATTGTGTTTCTATCAGCCTCTGGACTCGAGGCAAGCTAGATGAACTATATTCCTGTTGAAAAATTCCTTAGCCTCTATTTTTATTATGCGGTTCAATGAACTTCTAGTAAGCCACAGCAAAGTAAGAAACAGAAAATACATTTAATGGTACACTTAAGTGGTGTCTAGCCCCAGTCACTCGTGCCTAGAGAAAATTCTGTTCCTCGTCCCCTCACCCTCTCCTTTCCACCCGCACCATCACGTTGTACAGTGCTCACGCTGTAGGAAGACCATGTGTACTACAACTGCTGAACAACTGTGCTATCGTCGCCCGGGCTCTTCCTTGCTCATTAGAAGTGCATTTCTGCCCCATGAGCTAAAAGTGCACAGTTAACCTTAAGCTTGTATCCTCTGAACCTAAATTACTCCTCTGTGAGTGAGCCTACTACATTGGGCAACCGATTTTGCAACAATCACTTGCAAGTTTTCACCATATTTTTGATTGTGCCTACAGTACTTAGTTGGCAAAAACATCATAAATAATACTGTATGAGTGAAGTAATTTATTAAATATGTTTTTACACAAAAAAACTGTACCTGCATTTGCATCCTTTTTTACTTTGAAAAATAAAGAATTAAAATTATACAAGGTTTATACTTTACCTGATGTTAAAATAATGTTTGATCTTGATCTTCCAAGATTCATTTCCTTAAGTTCATCAAGCTCAAAACTTTCTTCATTCAATACTTCAAGCTGTGGTTTACTGTTCTTTCCTACACAATATTTTTGGCTGTTACATGTTTGTGGCAATATGATCAAATCAGGCAAATTAATTGTTTGTGTAGTAAATTCTCCTATAATGTTCTCACATTTCTCATCGCTTGAATCATCAATTTCTGGTTCAGTTCCTGTTTTAAAATCAAGACTTTGTGAATTTCGGTTGACATCTACTTCTTTTGTACTATCGTAATCTTCAGCATCTAGGTTTTCTACGCTTATAATGGTGTAGGTTTTGTTAAGTGTAGATTCTTGTAGTTTAGTTATCGTTTTCCAAGAAGGCTCAAAAACAGTGACTATGTCTCCAGCCGATGTGACTTCCATTTTGGACGCAGTCATCTCCAGTTTGATATCATTTAGATTAATTTTCTGTTCAGTATCTTTCCACTTCATCCTCTTCTTCTCTTTTTGCGGATTAGTAGCATTGCAACCTTTTGTTTTCAACATTTCTATGACTTGTTCACTGTCTTTAGTTGAAAAAATTTCCATCTTTTTGGGCTTCATTTGAACTGTTTTTTGTTTTGAAGATCTGTGGTAAAATCTTGACTTATAATTCTCTAGTCTTATTTTATTTATAAGATTCTTTTCTGATTCATTGGTGATTTCATGTGTTTGTTCTTTGGAAATTATTTTCCTGTTCTGAAGAATTTCAGTGAACAAAAGTTGAGGTCCCAAAGAAGATTTAAATGTTTCTTCAATGTCATTGCTTGACATTTTCTGTGGATTGAAGAATAAGTCTCGATTATTTTCATGTTTCTGCATACTTGCTTGATTTGTTGTGGTATCTTTTGTTTCTTCTTCATAATGTTTGTTCAAAGGTTGAAGCTTAGCACTTTGATTTCCACCCCTCAATCTTCCTGAGTTCAAATTATGGGATTTAGTTTTCTGCCTCAGCACAAGATGGGTTGCAATTATGTTTGACATGAACTTGTCTAATCGTCTAGAAATAAACGGTCTGCCAAGAATATTGTTTATTGAAGGCCTCTCTTTAGGATTTACCTTAAACAGATGAATCATGAGGTTCCTAAATTCAAAGCTGTACCTCAGTGGCAATGGAGGATACGTTCCTTTCACAATCTTAAACACTAAACTCTTCACATTTCCTGCACTAAAAGGTTTCCGCAGTGTAGCCAACTCGTACAGTACACATCCCAAAGACCAAATGTCACTTTTACTATCGTAAGGTTTGTTTTCACATATTTCTGGTGATAAGTAGTACGGTGTACCGACACAAGTTTTTGCAAGTTCCATCGTATTTTCTAGGATTTTTGCAATTCCAAAATCACCAAGTTTAACGATATTGTTTCTCGTCAAGAAAATGTTCTGGCATTTGATGTCTCTGTGGAGTATCTTCTGGTCGTGAACGTGTTTCAGAGCCAGACATATCTGCACAAACCAATCTAGGATTTCTTCTTCCGTGAAGTAGCATGATTTTAGAGAGTTCCTTCTTATCCTACTTGCCAAGTCACCTCCTTCACAATAATCAGTCATGATGTACAAATTCCCATTCTGAATAAAGGACTCTTTGTATGATATAATGTTTGGGTGCTGCAGCTTCATCAACACTCTCACTTCACGAAGCGCCTCTTCCCTTCCCTTTGGTGTCATTTTAGAAATGTTTATTTCTTTTGCGACACAGTTCGCTCCAGTTTTCTTGCTTACCACTAAGTATACCAGCCCAAAAGAACCTTCTCCGATCCTTCTGTCTCTGTTGTAATTATCCATTTTTTATTTTTTATTGACTAATGATACAATATGTAGTTATCCAGTCCATCGCTAAATCTTGATGCCATCATATCACCTGTTCACGTAGTCAGCTGTTACTGACTGTAGTAATCTTATACCTTTTTCGTCTAGTTGTCCATCACTGACTAAAGACTAGTTGATACACATTATTGATTGCCAACCGTTACTGACCAGTGGCAGTTTGTTGTGAGTTGTTCCCTGGTTACTATCTGTTTAGGTTCAAAGTAATTGGCCTGAATTTTTTATGATTCGTGAGGTTTGTTGACCAGATTAATCAGGCTTATTGCAATATAATGATGCATTTTGTTTATTTCATTTTATGCTCTCCAAACATGGATTTTCTTAATCGCAAGAACATTACAAAAATTAACAAAAGTTACAGAAATTAACATTTTACTCACAAATTATTATTAATTAGCTGATATTTTCACAGGTTACAAATAATAATACGTACATTTTAACTCTTATTCTTTTAGATAATTTATTTTATATAACACTTATTTCAGCCACATAGATGGGTAGTGTAATATTGACCATATTGTTTGATACGTAATAATTTTCTATATGATTATGGGGAGATAAGTAAAATTTGAATTTACAGACGTCTGATGATTTTGACCTAGGCAAAAATCTTATGGTTTCTAAAAGATACATGAAGTGGAAGAAATGAGAAACCAATTGTAATATCTGTAAGTGTTTATATAGTCATGCTGCTTGAGGTTGGATAAAAATATGTTGGAATTGGGGATTCAACTGGTGACGGAAAATTGGTGTTTGTTCATAAATAATCACCTATGTTTTATTTTAATGCTTCACTCTTTCTGCGATTGGATGCGTTAGGCCTACTGTGTGATAAAGTTGTTGGTTGCTTTACCTAACATTACGATGGTTCCCTACCATGTTCTACAAAAGTTTATAAAAATCTATGACATGCCCTTTTTTACTACATGTTTTAAAATATGAAATCAAGAACTAATTATAAAGTGTTCCATGTTTTGATTGTAGCCTTCTATAAATAATTATACACCTACAAAATTTATCTGGGTGCTCGTAATGTGCTTTGCATAAGAACTATATTGAAGTTTTACAATGTGATTTAATTTCTCTGAATTTTATATAAATCTTTACACGTGAATAAAGTAATTTTTATTTTTCTTGTGTTATTAATATCTTGATTGTTAAATCTTTACAAAATGCATCTATTCCCAAAAGACAAAATAAAAATAATACAAATCTTTGTACTCACCTAAAATGTAAAATTTGTCAAAAATAATAACTTTTTTTGGGTGGCTTGTTTCTGCTTCGACTCAAATTCAAACATTGAATATAATTAATTCTTTACTTAACAAGATTTTTGTCAGCTTTACCTTGTGCTTTGTTTTACTTACCATTCAGTCTAGTCTTGTTTTTCTTCTTATCTTCATATTTTTGCCACCACAATTGGCCAAAGCCGTTTTTGTTCTCCAGAAAAAATGCCCAACTGGTGGAATTCCTGACGTCCAACAGAGATTTGAACTTTGTGAAGTCTCACGGACGGGAAGTGCAGCGCTTCATCCAGAAGCAGGGGCTGGACAAGACGTTCGCGGAGTGTGAGGCACACATGTGGAGGGCCGGAGAGAGACGACTGCCGTGGGGAGTGGTGGTGGATGGAGGTGAGTCTGAAATATACGTCTTTTGTGTTTCATGTGTTTTTACATCATTAGTATTTTTTTAATTTTTTGTACAGGAACAGTTGAAACCCTGGTCTTGGTACTGTGAAAATGTAACATTTACCTTTTGTTTGACAGAATCATTGATTTGTAGCCCAATGGCAATAAAATAGGTCTAGAATTTACCCTGTTGGAATCAAACAAGCAACTTTCAGATTTGAAAATCACTTCACGTACTCAGAAATCTTTTTTTGTAGTTAATTTTGGTGGTGTTATTGTAAGGGGGTTGTGGGAATTTTTCATGATTAGTGAAAAACAATGTTTTTGTACAACAATTTAGGATATAAAACCCATGATTCTATCGTCAGTTGAGAAATTACCTAAAACGTAATAAGATTAGTACTTAAATCCAACCAAAGCTGAAATCAAATAAAATCAATTTATTTCAGAAATATAAATATATATACTAAGAAATATTCTGAAATTAGGTCCCTGCAAAGAAAAGCTTGGTTTATGAAAGCTGAAAATTCAATAAAGAAAAACCAAAAAGAGAACTGTTCAGTACTCAAAACAGGGAATTAAAGATCTTGAAATAAATAAACAACTTGCCTCCGCCGCCATCTTGTCTAGACAAATTCCTTGTATTCGCTAATCCTCTAGTTGAACAAATTCTTTCAACATTTTTTGTTTGCTTATTATTTGACTTCAATACAGGTAGTTATTTGTATCTGTTATTACAAAGAAAATTACTATCAGTGATTGGTAAGAACTGGGCCTTGGTTTACTAGAAAAAGTCACAAAAAGTTGATTTTGAATTGTTGCATGATTTAAAAAAATTTATTTCAAATCTTGACCTGATGACTCAACAGGCAGTGACTGGGTGGCGTTGAGTCGTCCGTTTGTCACCTACCTGACCAGAGAGCCGAGGGACGACCTGATCTCCGGTCTGTTGACGGTGTTCAAGTACACACTGCTACCGGCGGAGTCGTTCTTCCACACGACACTGCGCAACTCAGAGTTCTGCGCCAGTTATGTGGACAACAACCTGCATGTGACCAACTGGAAGCGACGGCTCGGCTGCAAGTGTCAGTACAAGCATGTGGTGGACTGGTGCGGCTGTAGCCCCAACAACTTCAAGACTGAGGACTGGCTAAGGTTACAGGTACGATGGAGTGAATCATTTTAGTATTAGGAAAACATGTGTTAAATTGTTACTAGCCACTATGGAAATTTCAGTAGCTTTTTGATGGTTTGTCATTGGACCAAGCTTGATCATTTGAGAAAAATTATCCTTGCTAAAGAAATAGCTGCTCTTAGTCAGTAATAAAGCTAAACAAGACTTTTCACGCCGCTTCACTACTTTTTGTTACTAAAGTAGACTTATTATCTGTTTAGATCATCTGTAGCCAATTTCGCTATTGATAAATTATTATAGTTGAATGACCCACAGAGTAGTACAGTATAAAAGATTTTTCTTGCTTACCATCTTTTTTAATGTGACTTGAAAGATGCATACAATAAATTGTCTCGTCAGTTTGGCCTTGGTTAGAACTTGAAATCAATTTCCAACACTTTTCTTTTGATTGCAGGGCACTGATCCAAGGCCGTTGTTCTTTGCAAGAAAGTTTGAGCCTATAGTCAACCAGGAAATCATATTCCAACTGGAAGAATGGCTGTATGGACCTTATCCAAGTAGTAAGTGGTTGAGATCATCCAACTAGCTTAAATACAACTGTAGTTGTACAAATTTATTGTAATATTACTGTTGCTCTCAATTTTGACAATCAAGTACTGCTTAGCTTTTTTGTTAAATTAGTGGCTGCCATTACTAATTTAAGGCCATATTTAGGTTGGTAGCATTCAGCCGTTTTTTATGAAAGAAGAAATTTAATCTCAAAATATTTTGACTAAAAACTTATTTTTATTAAATAACTTCTTGATCAGCATTGTATGTGTTATTAAATTTACGGAAAGTAAATAAAAGAAACGTCTTATAACACTTAAAACATACATTCGCCTATTGGGTCTGATGATGATTGGAGTGTCCAATCGAAATCAATTACCACTTGCCATCTTTTTTGTATATTTACCGTCTTGTGAATAACAGTATAAGCGTAAATATATGTTTTAAGTATTAAAAGACGTTTCTTTTTTTTACTTTCCGTTATTTTTATTGGAGTTTTTATGAACAGTTTTCTACAAAGTGTTACCTGATGGATTCATTCTTTTAAATCTGATTGTACCTTTAGAGTTATTTAAGTTGGTAGGATAGTTGGCAATAATAATAAAAAATCAAATGATTTATAGGCCTGTAAGATATGAATTTTGGTTCTAGTATCTAAGTCGCAATGTTGCACTACTAAGAGCTAAACCTTTTTTTTTATTTAAACAACCTCTTCCTTGCTGACCCATCACATACAAGGGGGTAAAAACTGGAATTCAAAATATATCTATATATATTTTTACAAATTATCAACACTTCAACCTTACCCTTCAAAGTACTCTCCATTGGATGCTAAGCGCTTGTCCGGCTTATCTTTACGGTTTTTCCACTCAAACACTTCCATGTTTTGAGATGGCTGCCTGTTTCTCGCTGGATTTTTTCTTGACATCTTCAATGGTGTAAAATTGTTGTCCTTTCATGCCTCTTTTTATCCATGGAAGTAGAAAAAGATCGCTCGGAACCAGATCAGGTAAATAAGGAATAAGGAATATGGAGTAGCACAACCATCTTGTTTTTAGTACAAAACAAGCGAACATCATGGAAGAACCAGTCACTTGTCTGCTTCGTGTTGGGTCTTTTTTGTCAAACACTGTTGCATCTTTGTAAAACTTCAATGAAATTTCTAATAGACAACTAGAAGGTAAAATAGGACAAATAGGGGGAACAAACTCTAATTGAACAATGCCTTTGGCAAAAAAAAAAATATATATAGCGTTGTGCTGATGTTTGATTTTACCTGACAGCATTTCTTTTGTACAGGGTGACAAAGGCTTCTTCCATTTACTTGACTTTTGCTTTTTCTTTGGGTCATAACCACAGTCATTTTTGTTAGCTATTTTCATCATTAAAACATTTTAAGTGCATTTTTGTCCCTCAAAAGAAAACTTTACAGGTGTTCACTTTCTTACGTGTCATCGTAAAAACAAAACCTTAGAAAATGGTGCCAACAGACAAACACAACCAACTAGCTGGACTGCAGCAGCAGCACTGGACTGGAAGTGAGTTGCACTACACACGCCTAGCGGCTGAAACGTATACTATGACAGCTCCTCGGCAATGCTATTCCTGTTATTTTTGGGTAGCTTACCTACTCCCTTCTAGTTACTAGGCATATACAAGGTATCATGGTAGTAGTGAGTTTGCATAATAATAAAATTAACATTACTGACAAATATTAGTGCTAGGAATGGGACATAAATTTAACTTATTTATTTGACAACAATTTTTTCACAATGTTGTCCAGCAAGGTTGCTACAGTGGTTCTATTGCAGTGTGCACAACAGTGCTAACAGCAAACATTTGTGTGCACAGATGTGACCAGTCTGCACAGTTACTGGGAGAGTGTGTACCACTACCAGGATGTGTCTCCGCAGTATGATGACACTCTAGGCACTATGGCTGCCTCACTGACACGTCACGCCACCAGACATCTGAGCGACTCTGCTGTACATTGTAGCGTCTCCGCAGTCAAGGTGTACGAGATCACCTCCTACCTACACAATGACTACTACAAGGTACGGTCATAGGACAACTTATCATCTCATGAACCCATTTTTCTTAGATTGCTCAAGGAATGGATGACAGTAGGAATGTTTTCATGGTTCTTGGGTTTTGTTTAGGACAAGTTGAGAGACCTTTTTTTCTGGGACAGTATTGGGGTGGAAACTTACTTGGTTTTGTTTATGACAGGAGTTAAGGGAGGTTTCCTTGGTTTATCCTGGGACAGGGTTGAAGTGTGAAATATCAACAGTTGGCCAGAGGGGTCAGTTCGGACAGGAAATAATTTTTGGGTCAAGCCCGGTGTTGAGAAGAGCCAAGTCGAGCTTTTACTTTGGCTATTGCAGAAAGCAGCTTCAAAGATGGTCAATAAAAAATTTAGGATTTCCCCAAAATCGCGGATGATGTTTATGGTTTTAAAGTCATTTTGGGAGATGATGATGTTGCCATGACTGCAATAGACTTTCACCAAATCACTGTGACCAATGAAAATGTTCTCTAATTTGCTGTGTTTGTAAAAAAACATTTACAATTTTACCCTGTCTATGGAAGATGTAGATTTTGCTGTATTCGCAGAACACATTTATGATTTTCTCGCGACAGCAGAAGATGATTGTTCTCACTGTATCCACCACAGAAGATGCTTTTGATTTTGTCTTCACCTCAGAAGACAGTCACAATTTCACCCCAACTTCGAACTAAAAAATTTCTCATCTGACCTGAGCCGACTTTAAGCAAAAAGAGTCTGGCCAGCAGACCCCTAGTTTCCTAAGTTTGTTCTGGTACAGGATTGGAGTGGGAAAGCTTGGTTATATTGATCTAGGACAGGAGTTATAAAAACATCCTTGCAGCATTTAATTTACTATAACAATGATTTGTCATTTTACAGGGCACTTTAATTAAGTACTCAGCCAAGGTTAAAGGACAGGATAACCTAATGACGTTAGAAACATGGTTTCGCCCTCAGAGCAATTTCACTGTCTTGCACAACAGTGGGTTTGCGCAGAGAATCAAGGTAATTGTCTTGAAAATGTTCTTGGACTTTTTATTTAGTGACAATTTTTTAATGTGTGTAATTATAATGTACTTGATAATATATTCAAATAAATTCTGTTCAATTCATTCATCGCGGTAATGGAAGCTGAGCAATGGCTACGTGAATTGTAGATGCAATTGGTGCACCTAATATAAATACAATAATATTGATGTTTTACTATACGATACAATTAGAATATGGCAGCGTTTTGCTACAGACACAATTTAATAGATTTTTTTTTCCTTAGTTCAAATTTATAGATTTTTCTGTTTTTCCTCTCATATCAATATCAATTAAATACTTAAAAAAGCTTACGAAGCTCTTTTAAAACAAACCATAACAAATATTAGTGTTCCTCATAGTGCCAGACATAAATATTTTTTGTGTAAGTGTTTTTTTTTCATGTTAGATTTGGGTCTAAATTAATTTACCATTTATTAAAGATGGTTTTGGATAAATTAATAATTGATCATAGGCTACAATTTTGAATTTGCTTACTCTATTGTTTTGCTTCAAGTGAGGTTATTTCTTTTAGGAATCAGCTACCTTTCTAACTCTAAACTCGCAAACATGCTATCCCATGTTTGGGATCTGCGAGCCTTCGTACCGGCGAGCCCGAGCCCCAACACAAACATGCTTCCCCGTCTGTAGGGACGACCAACATGTTCGCGAGCGTACATGTAAATATGTTTGGAAAATACGTCCAAGAACGTCTTCGAAACAGTCTTCAGTCATCCTCATATAATTTTTATAATCATTTGGTTTGTTTGATGCTAGTTCTGCTAACAGAGACATGTGACTGAACATGTGGTTTTTGTTTCCAAGCCAATTCTTACACCATATTTTTGTGGCTTGCGTTTTTTCTCATCTTCCATACAAACAAACCCCCCGCAAATAGCCACAACAGCGTTAGCATCCATTTTTAACACAACTCGACTGTCACAGCGCAAGAGAAGCAAGAGTATTGGGCGGTGACGGCGAGCATGTTCACTAGCATGCTCGATCGTCTGTTGGAATCACCGAGCATATTCGAGAGCATGCTTGACCGCCTGTTGGAAACGCCAAGCGTGTTTGCCAACAGGCTCGCAAACATGCTCATCCGTGTAGGGGGGCTTTAGAGGTGATCTCAACCTATAATTTGCTGCTACATGGGTAACTGATTTTGGCTGTAAAGATGTAGAATGTGTATGCTTGTATGTACAGGCGCTGGTAGTAAGTTCCCAGTTTGACCAGAAGGAGCAGATGTTCCGCAACTTGGCCCGAGTGTTGGGTGTCTGGTCGGAGCCTAGTGTGGCCGTTACATTGGTGAGTGGCTCTAGTGGAGCGAACCTAACACTGCTCTGGGTCGACCCGACAGGTGTCTTGGCTGACGTATCAGAGGCCAGTGTGGATGAGACTTCTGCGGTAAGTTGGCTTCATGTTGTTCTTTTGAAACTTAATGCAATGATTGTAACATTTATTATAATGAAAATATGGAATGTCCATATCAAAAGATATGTTGGGCACTGAAAAATATTCTACATTAAAATATAATGTACTAGATGATTACTGCTGGTTATGGGGGGGGGGGGGGGTCGGTAGTTTAGTGGGCTGCACAACAGAATGTAAAGAAAAACAAGGTGGCAATGTCATTGGATCGTATCCTAGTGCTACCTACCACTCTAAATTATTAGTAAATTTCATCCTTGTACTGTACCGGCTAGTAAAGTTTATCCTTGTACTGTACCGTCTCAGCCCTTGCCTAATTTTGTATCATGCCATGGAAAGAATGTGCGTGACGATGTCGGTGGGACTGCAAAGCGAGCTGTGACAAAAGCAAGTCTTCAGCGAGCATATAAAAACCAGATTCTGAATCTCATCAAAAGTTTGAATTCTGTAAAGAAAAGATCAAAGATATATTTTATTACCTTAGCATTTCACGCACCGGCCTGATACCTGTGGTACAAACCAATGTAGATGAACAAATTCAACGTTAAAAGAGGCAGCTACCCATTTACAAACATTTTGTTTACATAAAAGTCTACCCCCTAACACTGTTGTGAATTTTCCAGATATACAATGTAAAGCCCACACTGAAGACTCCTCTACTGCCAGGAGTGTGGTGGCTGAAGGTAGTGGTGGACAATAGAGTGGTAGCTCACGCTGACTTTCTTGTGTCTCCACTTCAGTTCTCTTCCGGTGTAGTCCTCACACAGCAACAGGCCAGGTGGGAAACTTAACATTTTGTTCATAAAATTGAAAAACTCTGTCATAGAGACTGTTTCATGGGCATGATGGGTTATGCAGGGAAGGTTACTAGGAAATTGGGGACACCCTTGTTTAAAATACAGTAGATGGATGGATAGGAGGCAGAATTGACTTCAAGATGGGAAATGGAGGTGGAGCGCCATTGTAAGATAAAACTATTAACTGATAAGAGCGGGGACCAAAGCTGACAGACAGCTATCTAGTGCTATCAGAATCTGCAATTAACTGTATTCATGAAATTTTACTATGTAAATTACATTTAATAATAAAGGGGGCGGAAGTTAGCTTACCTTAAGCTTGCCACAAGCTGCTTAAGAAATACACAAAGAACCAGAAGCAGAGTTCAATGTTTTCTAGTTTAATGTGATCCATCCTGTTTGTATTAATGGCTCGACAGATTAAGATTGAAACTTCTCATGTTACAGTCCTTAGAATGGTACAACCCCCGTTAAAAAGTACAGTTAAAAAGGTTATTGTAACTATTGTGATTTCCTCCATAACATAGTAACTCCACCGCTTACCCATGATAAGGGTTGTCAACAAGCTAATGGGAGAAAGTGTGTTTTAGATTGCTGATACTGTTCATTTACTACTTGTTTATTGACTTCCATCATAGACTAACCAACACAAGTAGACTTCTTACCCCATTGTAAATTTTGAAGCTCGTTTTTCGTGTCTAGTAGTAACTTACATGTACGGTAAACTGGGCGCTAGTGTTGACGAAACTTTGTTTCTATTATTTTAAGGTTATTTTAATGATCTGAGCTTTACTGTTTGGTTATATAACTAAGGGACGAGTTATTGTTTATGATTAGATCGCATTATTTGGTTAAACGAGGTTTTAAATTACTGAAATAACAACAAAACAAATTGTTAACAAAACACGACCTCTTACAGTGCACCGTACGGATCTAACAATAAAATAAAAACAAGCCCGTGGGGCGTAGCCCAAGGGAAATATGAAAATTAAATGATATAATATTGCATTGTCTTCCATTTGTGAGCTATGTTTCAAGTTTCAAGTCTCTAGCTCATCGGGAAGTTAGTATAAAATTGATTGCAAAATTTGTACCGGACAAGAAAGCGAGCTAATAAAAACGTTTTAATTAGTTTCAGCTGTTCCATAAGGATGAGAAATCTACTAAGGGAGTATGTTTTATCTATGCTTCCATTTAGTGCTTTCTGTTCTCTTCACACTGGTGATTTAAGAGGGATTTTTTCTTAACATTACACTCCTTGAACAATTTTTCACAACTTTGACTTAACCATGGTATTTTTCTCCTTAACTTAAAGTCAATGTTCTTCTTCTGAGACATCCACTAAAATATCTTTCAGTTTATCCCAACAATCATAAACATCATATTATTAATGACTAAAATCTGTTTCTGAGTTTCAATTGGAAACTCTGCACAAAATCCTTATTTTTTTAGTTTGCTAACATAAATTTTCTTTTCTACTTTGATAATTTCTCTTTTGTCTTTGCATTGTGCCTTATCTAAGCAACAGCAAAAACCTAGTGCTAGTGTTTGAACGACTAGGTCTGAACGACATTCAGCACCTCTTAAACTTTTAAAGTCTAATACTGCGTCTGTGTCTTTTATCAATAAAAAAATGTTATCAATTTTGATTTCTAGTCTTTTTGTCTGGTGATGCTCATGTTTCTTTTATGGATGTTTTTCCGAGGGAATGAGGTGCTTGCAACTGTAAAATTGGTGGCACATGCCAGGCTAAGGCACCTAGTTCCATTGTTACTGTTACTATGCAAACTCTTTTTTCTATAATACAATCTTTTATATCTCTTTTCGGTCAACTTTGGTATTAGCATCTCCTAGTAAAATGTTTACATCATAGTTAGGAATTTGAATTTACTGACTGTTCTAATTGACCGTATAAATCATCCTTCACGTAATCACTCTTATTCTCTGTTAGAGTATAAATGTTTATTACAGATAGGTTTTAAAATGTTACTTTTGATCTTACATAACCAGTCTTTCATTCAGCCTCAAATACGACTAGAGCATCTAGTCTTTTTATTGATAGCAAATCCCACTCCTTCTTGATGTATGCCAACATTTCTACCACTATACTATATCGTGAAATTTACAGCATTAATGATTCCATTTAATGACCACCTAATTTCCTGCAGAGCTACTATCATCCATTTTGTAGTGTTCTAGTTCCCTGCTTGCAATGTCCACAGAGCACCTGGCACCGCCAGAGAGCGAACGTTCCAACTTCCAAATCTCAAGTCCTTATGTGACAGCGAGGTTGTTGTCCAATGTGATCCATCCTGTCCAAGACATTCTGTTGGCGATAAGTAACCAGGGTTGTTTTACGAGAGCGGGTGGTTAGCCCTTTGCCTCAACCCCCAATATGAATGGAGGACCTACTTCTGGTCAGCGGGTCCATCGGACCTAGCCGGGAGGACTGACAAGCAGATCCACCGACCTTCCCCCTATCCGCCACCCAGGGGACGCTCCGTATACGCTGAAGTAGGAAAGCGCACGGATACTTTATTACCAGATACAAAAAATACTAACACTAGGTACAAAAGAAGATACTTAATACTAGATACATTACATACCTAATACTAACAAGTTGGTCCTAACTACAATAACTAACTTGTCTTCAATTGGCTCACAGTGTGGTTTCAGAACTCTTGAGCCATCTCCTCTTCAAGTTTCTCAGAGTTCAATATCCTCATCCATTGTTGCATTGATCTCCTACATTTCATCATGGTTCCAAAGATTTTTACATGTCAAATCCTCTGGCACTTTACTCTAAAGAATCCTTTCAAATATATGCGGATCTTTTTTCTTTTACTGATCAGGTCTCGGTGTGCTTCTATAATCTCCCATTTTCCTCAGGAGTTGTTACTTGGTTGCTTACTATAGTGATCTACTAGTTCTTATGTAGAAATGAAATAGTGACAAGACCGGAAGAATGTTGCCAAGTTTTCACTGAAATGTTTCATATTCCAGAACTGATGTACTTTGTACCCTCTGGAATAGAGCAAATACATTTGACTTTCATAAATATTTGTTCTTCCTAAAAATAATTTTGGCAGGAGAAAAAATTTCACCTTGCACTATTTTATTGTGTCAGTGAATTAAATTAATGGCTTCTAAGGAAACGTATAATTATTTACTGTCAACATGCTGTTGTGCAAGAACCTTGGACCTTTTACAATGTATAGATCTAGCCATATCGTTTCTATTATAAAGTTTTAGTCAAATTCAGATTAAAAACAAACATATTTATTTAAATTGAGCATCCAGCACGGGTCACACTAGGCTGGCATCAGCTGCAAATTTAAAAAAAGCCGCTTATCAGCTTAAGGTGACCACAAAATGCGAAGCTGGCACTGCAAGCCAGCGAGTATTTGTCAGCAGCTGGAGAAGTCAGACATGTTCAACTTTTGGTACCAAGGCAGCAGCGACTACCAAGGCAGGTCATGTGATCACTCACACTCGTTGAAGACAGCCAAAAGCGTAATCTGACCACCTGTAGAAGTGTGCCAGCGGCGACCAAAGCAACACGTGGTTTTTTGGTGTACTTGTTTTGTTTTGCTGGTTCTGTTTATCTGATTATTATTAGTATCTTGTGTAGAAATGAATGAGCTAAAGTGGTGGTAGAAGCAGATTTATCTTTATTTTTGATTTATTTCAAAATTATCTGTTGGAATTCACTTCAATATTAGGTTGAATTCTATTTAAGTTGGTAAAAGATTTAAAAACGTTAAAACAGAGAGCTATTACTTTCAACACCTTTATTTACAATTGAACTCACAACAATAAGCATTTAAATCATAATTGAATCTTAGCAATGAAATATAAAGTACAAAGAATATAGTTTTTTGTGCAACTAGTGAGAAAAGTGAGCAATTGACTCACTTGAGAGAAATTCTTACTCACGAGCCGTAGGCGAGTAACATAAACATAAACATCTGGTTGTATTCTAGCCAGAGTGATGGAATGGTTTCTCGAGTGAGGCAATTGTACTTTGAACTCGAGTTGCACATTATACTTTTCCTACAGTTACCATAAAACAAATAAATTGGCCAAGAAACATAACCTATTTTTACACAGAAGTGAACTTTTAATATAACATTTAACGTGAAGTGACAAATACAACAGTACAACAGCTGACCAGCTGATTTACAGCCAGTGCTGCCAACGTATTTCACGTGCATACGACGTTGCCTGCATGCTACGCGCTCGCTATTTCGTGCCTTCACGTTGCAAATCTGGAGTGAGACAAAGTAATTAGAGTGAGACAATGTTAACATTGTCTCACTGATGAGCAAATTGGCCACTTTGCTTTCTCAAATCAGTGAGAGAACATGTACATTGTTAGGTAACTGTAGGAAAAAATATATAACAGCTGTTAGCTGATTCAAACTATATCACTTGCTGTATATAATACCATTGACTATATAACTGACAACTTCTAACATCCTCCCACCAAGTTCATGGAACATTAAATAAGTGAAATGAACTTCTCTATGGGTTGAAATGAACAACTTTTCATGATATTAAAAAGAGAAGTTATTAAGTTGCATTGTTTTTTCCAAGTAATGATCTCAAGTTTAATTTTGATATCTCTTCGGAACACATATAACTCTTCCTCGTCTGGTTTCTTTTGTGATTGACACAGGTTCTACATTTGACACATCTTCTTCAGGCGGTATTTCCCTTATCAAAGTCGATCTTGAGTTTTCCTCATTTACAACTTGTTGAAGATGTTCCTGTGTAATATTGTCTTCTTGAGAGTTTATTTCTAGTCTTCTAGTCTTCTAGAGTTGATTAGTTTTTCATCTGTCACTCCTTCAAATGATTCTGATTGAGCAATTGATATCAATTTTTCTTCTGCCAATGTGTATTCTTCTAAAGTTAAGTCACAGTTTTTGATAGTCTTGTTCTTCATTAGAGTATTGTTTTTGAACCGATAAATCCATCC